ATCACAGCCGCAACCAACGCCCCCCCCACCAAGGCGGTCCACTCCTTCCCGCCCGCTATTACCTGCTGCAGGGGCGGCCTCGCAGCCTGCTGCCCCCTCGCCCGGCCGCCGTCCCACCGCCGCCGCCGCCGCCGTTCCAGAACAATCCCGTGGCGCCTCGCGCTGTTTGACTTTCCTCCCCTCGCCGGCTCCTCTGCCCCCCCCACCGCCCGGTTCCTCCTGGCCCAACCCTATCCCTCCGCCGTCGCCATCGTCGTCGGCTCCGGCGCCGAGCGCTACTAGCAGGCGGCACAGCGCTTCCACGTGGTACGCGGACATCTTGCTGCCCCCGTTCACCTGTCGCTTCTCCTCCCCCGCCCCCGCCGCCTTCCGCCCCCCCGACGCCCCCACGTGGTACGGGGGGTAACCGCCAAGGCTAGCTCCGAGACTCAAGTCCTAGCCAAAAAAAGAAAAAAAGAAAAAAAGAAAAGGACGATGCAACACAAATGAATATGACAGAGAAAAAATGAACGGAAAGGTTTCGTAGCATCCCGGAGAGATGGAAAGCGAAGGGACAAGTGGAGAGCCTTGTGAATGCCGCGCTCCATATCGACGGGCGCGGAGGGCAAAAAGTTCCGTGTATTCAGCTGCGCGTAGGCGGCCCTCCCTGTCCCACTCTATTATTTGGTGCAATAATAGCACCTGCACCACCTTGTAGAACGTGCTTCGCGCGCTGCAGTTCGTTTCACTATCGTTATTGTGGTGCTTCCTTGTGTTGCTGGTTGCTGGTGCTGTCTGTCGACGATGGACACCACCTGACAATCTAACTACGCTCACAACCTCACCTCACTGTACATCCCGATCTCGTCGTCGAGGCCGTCAAACTCCTCCGGGGGAAACGGAGGGCTCCACATCGGCGTGGTAGTCTTCCCGGCGCCCGCCTTCGTGTAAAAGCGCACACAAACCGAGACGCGAGGGGGTCACGCAGAGGGCACCAGCGTAGCAGAGGGGGGCATGCAGAAAGTAGCGTCTGTCAAGAGAAGTGGCGCTGGCAACTCTCCCCAACGCGTAGTTCATCCGCATAGGGCACGAAAGCCGAAATCGGCGATGCATGTCGTCCAGAGCACGCAGTCGTCATCTAGTGAAACAATCCTGTTGGTGCTGTGTATATGCATCCCACTCGATACGATTTCGGGCGGTCGACGACACCGTGCCCACAATGCCTCGAAAACGCCTCGGTGAAGACAAACAGGAGCGGCACACAGCAGCAGCACCGAAAACGATCATCTGCGTTTGGCCGGTGAGCACATAGGGCCACCACCACAGCCGTCAGTGACCGCACGCATGACTCTTGCGACGCACATGCACGTATATATATATATATATATATAGGAGCGTTGCTGTGCACACAACGAATTAAAAATCATGTCACTCATCGTTTGCCGCTCTCCACATATCGCACAGAAAACGCCTTGTTCAGCAGCAGCGAAACAACTACATGTAGTACCGATACAAAAACTATGGCCGAACCAGACTATCGACGAACGGCCGGCGAACGTGTACTCTCCGACAAATCATGCGACGTCTCAAGTAACCCCCCCCCGAAAGAAGCAAGCCATGCAAGGACGATCCCCTTCCCAACGTTCTTCTTACCCCGGTCGACCCGTCCTCGCCCTTGCTCCCCGCTGCTCGCCGCTGCGCCCGCTCCGCCACCGCGGCCGGGTCGTCGTACCTATCCGCCCGCCCCCCGTGGACCGGCGGCACCTCCCCTTCCAGCCGCCCGAGGCAGAGCAGCAGGCGATCCACGTCGCCGGCGCGGAGCGCCGCTCTCGCCAACCGCTGCCGCTCTCGGTGGGTCCGAAGCCGGCCGCCGCCGCCGCCGCTTCCGCCGTCAGGCGTGGCGACAAGTAGTGCGACGGCATCGGTATCGAACCCCCACGTTTCTGGGTCTCGTTCTGTTCTCTCGGTGGTCTCTTTCGATACTGCTGCTGGCGACGCTTCCCCTGCTGCTGCTGCTGCTGCTGTTGTTCCTGGGTATTTTACTGCTGTAGATTGTGAAGCGGCATCGGCACCGTCGGTGGCGGCGGCGGTAGAAACGAGGGAGTCCGCGAGGCTGCCGTCGAGCTGGGCCATGAGCGACGAGAGAGTCGCGGCCGCACAACCTCCAGGTGCGGCGGCGGCGCCTTTGGCGGAGGTCTTCGGTGCCGAAGGGACGAGGGTGCCACCGCCGTTCTTCTTGCAGTCGTTGCCACTGGTGCCGCCGCCGCCGCCGCTGCCCCCGTCAACGCCGGCTGCGGCTGCGGCTGCGGTAGCGGCGGCGGCGGCGGCGGCGGCAGCACCGGGAGCAGCCGAAGCACTGCCGGCCTCCTTACCGTCACCGCCGGCGCCGCCGGCGCCGCCGCTCGCAGCTGCCGCCGCCGCACCGGTCGCGGCGGCACCAACAGCATAGCCGCCGGCGCCATCAGGAGGGCGAACAAGAGTGCAACGGTATCCTCGCATGAGCGGCACGCTGAGCTGCGCCCTCGCGAACGAGAGAAGCAGGGAGTCGCCGCCATCTGCTTCCGGGAGGAGGACTAACTCGAGCGTAGTCTCCGACGGCGGCGCTGCTGATGGCAGCTCCAGCAAAGTGGACTGCGGCAGGCCGGACAGGGGGCCCCGCCAGATGCCGGTCCGAGAGAAGACCTCCTTCTTGTCTTCAGAAACGCCATCGGCGGCGAACGAGGGCAGACAGACGCAAGAGATTTTGACCGACAGCAGTGGGAGCGGAAAAAAAGGGATGAACAAACGAACGCTTCGTATGTATAGCCGCTCCAAAAGTCTGCTCGCAGGGTGTACCGTACAGAATGCCGTGGGTGTGTGTAAAATGAAAGCCCTCCCTCTCGGAGCCGTCTCGTTTCTTGTTGAGCCCCATTTGGCAAAGCAGGAAGGAAATATTGATTGGTCATCGGAGATTGGTCCCGTGGAAAGGAACAATACTCCGTCCTTGTGGCCAATGGGCTGTAATAACCCGTTGAAAGAGGCATGCAAAACACGAGTACA